ATACAGCACCGCATACTCCTCGTCGAAGATCTGCAGGGAGAAAAAAATGGGGAGAGCGCTCACTCTGCAGTGGCTTGTTACCGCGTGCTTGTCCAGCACACGTCCGCATGCACCCACGCTGTATCATTCAAGAACGCAAAGTAATAATACAGGACACACAAACACACACAGTATTCATCAGCTTCCCAATAATTATTTTTCATCGCTGTGTTTAATTAGAAACAAGCTCTGTGTATCGAAAATGCCAGGATCAAGTGAGGTAAGGGCCACCCACCAGCAGTGTATGCAGGGACTAAACTCCTGAGATTCTGTTTGATTATTGACCTTAAAAACACTGGCTGGTGTATGTGGATTAAAAGCCTATATGATAAAGTCGGGGAGAGTGAGTGAGGACGAGGACAGGGAGGATATTATCAGTGAGAGGACGCCAGGTCAGTCAGTTGATGGTGCTCCATATGGTAAGTGGCTGTGATTCAATTGCACACATCATTGGCAAAATTAATTATCTGTGGAAGTCTGTAATATTATTAATAATTATACTATTTGCTGTAGTGTACATGTGTCTGTTCATGTGTGCATATTTGGAAGAAGCTTATCACAGCCAGCAACTATGTCACAGACTGTAATTGACAGTAGAAATTAAAGTCAAACTGAAATAATCAAAATTATATTTTTGTGTCATGGTTTTGGGTTTTCTTTTGTTATTTCCTGTGTCTACTTTACTTTCTGTCTTTTGATTGCTGTCACCCATGTCATTAGTTTCCCCTCACTAGAGTATATATTGCACGTGTTTCCTTCACTCTGTGATAGTTCGTCCTTGTTCACATGTAGGATTTAGGACTATTGCCTCATCATGAGCTAAGTTTATGTTCCCCTACCGTCTTTACAATAAATCATCCAAACTGCTCCTGCTCTGTTAGTCTGCATCTGGGTTCAAATTCCTCATGTTCCACAACCCAACTTCCACATTTGTGACATTGAAGAAAAAGGAACAAATAGGAACAGCCAAATCTGATTGACAATATACTGAGTCGGGAACATTGAGTAATTTGACAGGTGCAATATTTATGTTGGCCAACACTTAACTTCCAGTGCAGTCAACCAGCTAGAGGGCCAAATGTTGCGCAGTCTGTATTTAAACCAAATTACGCCAGTCTTTCCATGAGGAAGATTGTGGGGACCACAGCTGATGCAAAAAATACCAAAATGTAGCAAAAAGTTGGATAACTGTTGGAGAAACGCAATCCTGTGTTTGTCATGCTGCCGTGGCACAGAGAGAAAGAAAGCTAGAGTGAATGAAGAAAGGGAGCAGTAGATCTAAAGCACAAATAAATATGCCCACAACCCTGTGCTAATCGCCAACACCTGATTTAACACATCACTCCCTACATTAGACACCCTATGCTCACTAGCTTCTAGTTACCTAGTGAGCATAGCTTGCAAGCTTCCACAACATGATTGGTCCTCCAAAATGTTCAATGCTGTAAAGGGGGAGGCAGATTTAAAAACAATTAACAGTTAATAGTTAACACTATGTGGGATTGTTGAAAAAGGCCAAGATTGTCTTGTATCAAGGTCATGTTTGTACGGCATTGTCTCACAACACAGAAGCAGACGGCGTGTCTCCAAGCAACATCAGCTCTTAAATGTCATTTATTCGCTGCCATGGGAAACCCACCCAGATTTGAAAATTATAAAAAATATGCACAATAGCTGCAGTGTCATTATAGCTTATACTTCCATATTTAACAAAAAAGTGAGTAGAATTCAAATTTCAGTTCAACTCAGACATTATTACAAAAAGTGCCCTCACCTGTCTCCATGCGTTTCCTGCGTCCGAGGTGATAAACACACTGACGTTGCTGGTGGCCAGCTCTGAGCCAATGGAGCCTGGAGGTGAGAACAAGCATTCACAAAGCAGACAGAAGACAAACTACAGTAAGTGTCTGAGCTGGGAAACTGCATGATGGAGACATGGGAAATGAAGTCTATTTGAGATCAAACAAATCCCAAATTTTATAAAGAGCCTTTAGAGCGGGAGAGGTGATACAGCAGGAGGCTTGAGCCTGCAGCTGCAGACTGTAATTACAGTGCTCCAGAAGATCTACTGTTACCCTGCAGAGCCACATTTGCCCATACTCCTCAATTAACCAATAAATCCAGATTACTGTGTTCGTCTTTCACCAGTTCTGACCATATTAAGAAAAGCTTTCCTAACCCTGTACAGACTGCTATAATTGCTCTAATTTAGCCTGTAATTGGTGCCAGGTGGTTAAACACGAGGCTGGAAAGTGCTGTAAGTAATTCAGAGGCATGCTTGTCCCCTTGTCTGAACACTCCTTGAGTAACAATTTGCTTTACAATCCCCGCTTTCGGAGTGTAAGCTAACACCAGCTGAAGATATTTCGGAGTGTAAGCTAACACCAGCTGAAGATCTGGATCTTGCAGACCTCCAGTGGTGATTTTTTTGTTTTGTATTTTATTTTCATAACAAAAAATGGGTTGTGTTGTATTTTCT